GCTCCTCTTCCCTTTGGGATGCATAGCCCAGTGACCTGCACATACTCATAGGGCAGTCAGTGCCTTGCATAGGACTTTGCCTCTATCAAGTTTTCCTGGGAGGAAGTTTGTTAAAGAGAATAGGACGGTCACCTGAGCCCCCTTTCACCCTCTGTGACAGTCACCGTAGTTGTGTTCTGAGAAATGAAATTATCTTGCTGCAATGTGGTGTATGTCGTAACTTCAACAGTTCAGCTATCATATTCAACTAAATTAAGGTTCAACCAGTAAATGATTGCAAAAGAATGAAAAAGATGGCAGAGAATAACATATTGATGATGTTATAACCATTCCATCCAGATTTTCTTGAAGCAGCAGGATTAGGAAGAGAAATCTTAGATATAAAATAATTAACAACTCCTTAAAAACGAGATTACATATACAGAAATAGAGACTAAAACAATAGTAGGAGCAGGGAGGAAAAGAGGAGAAGCAAGTCAAAAGACATGAAGCAATAGATATGTAGGAGGAACATCTAAAGGTCTAATGTACAACAGGAGGAGGACTATAGCTAAAAATAGTGTATCACAGGGTTGAGGCTGTAGCTCATTTGTTGAGTGTTTGCTTCACGGGTGTGAGGCACTGGGTTCATTCCTCATCACCACATAAAAATAAATACATGAAAAGATATTGAATCAATTTACAACTAAAAAATATTTTAAAAATAGTGTATAGCATCATGATTTCTGTTAACAAATGAGTAGATTATAACTACTCTTGCCGTTGATGGTAGACTGGGGGTAAGGGTATGAAGAATGGGATGAGAAATGGGTAATTATGGGAGATGATGGATAGGTTGATTTGTCTAACCATAGTTACTATAGTAACTAGGTAATATCAACATCATATTGTATACCTTAAATAGGCATAACTTATTAAATTTATTAAAAATAATAGCAACCATTGAGTAACATTTCAGTCTAAACAGAAATTTCACTACCATTATCTACTCCAACTTGATAATCACTTTTTCTCCAAATGATTCTTGAAGCTACCTCCCACCACCCACTTCATTTTTTGCTGTCTCTTTTTATGTCACCACCCCTTCCTCAGTGCCCAACCAGATCCAGACATCATTCATAAACTAGCTCAAGTTCCCCCTCATTCCTGAAGTTTTGCAGACCAATTCAGTCCCTGAGGAGCTTGCTCTCAGACTTTACTGGAATGCATTTCATAAGACACACTCTTGCCTTTTTCAGTGAAGCAACTTTGCTTTTCAGAATATTGCATAAATACTTGTGGATCTGAAGTCCTGGTAAATTGTTGGCATCTTGCAAAGTAGCAGCATCTCTTCTTTGTGTCATTTAAAGCAGTAGCCTTTGGACTTTCTGGAACATGATGGTTATAATAGGATATATATTTTACATCACGGTCCATTACGTACCACATATAAGTACTTAATTTTAAAATTCCCATGAATAGTACTTATTCTTTTACGCTGTCTTACCTTATTATATTGGGGGAGGGTCCTAGGGTATGAACCCAGGGGTGCTTACCATGAACTACATCTCCAGTCCTTTTTTTAATATTACTTTTTGAGACAGGATCTTGCTAAGTTGCTGAGGCTGGCCTTGACATTGTGATTCTCCAGCCGCAGCTTTCTAAGTTGTTGAGATTACAGGCGTGCACCATCACACCTGGCTCTTTCTTGTATTTAAAAAAAAAAAAATGCTGATCATAGTCACTGACTTCACAATGGTTTGAGACCTGCAGTTTTAAAAATGCAATACCAGAAGGGCATTTATTGATTACCATGGAATTGTTATAGCCATTTCTCTCACTTAAAAATTATTTAAAAATTATATGTGGCCATTGGGCTCTTTAAGTAATACTCCCAATTTAGTTGTTTGTTCATTCAATGTTTCATGCCTTGGTGCATTTGCTTTTTCCAGTTTTCTAGAACAAGTAAATGCTTGGTATATACAATTTCCCATCTTTCCCCCTATACACTCTTATTATAAAATACGATTCTCTGCATTTCTAAATTTCATTTCTATGAAACTCAAATTTCCTTTCCCTCATAATCTCTTTGACTTTCACAATGTGCAAAGTGGGTCAGACATTTCATGGATGAAGTCAATGAGACTCAATTATGACTTACTCAGGAACATTTTTCTTCTTTAACAGGTGATTATAAATCAAGGTAAATATGGTTTGTAGATATTTGAAGGATATGAATTTGGATCATTGAAACCATAAAAAGCCTGAATATGTATGCATTTACTTCACCTCTTCAGAGCCAATGGTTTACTGACCAGATGAGGTGCTGCCCGCTGGACTCATAGGTAGATCCTGTCTTCCTCTCCATCCTCAACTTTCTACCTTTATGTACTCGTGTTTATTTGTTTGGTTTTCTGTTCTTCGTGATTCTGGAGATTGAACCTAGGGTCTCACATATGCTAGGGAAGCACTTTACCACTGAACTACTTCCCCAGAACTTTTTATTTTAAATTTTGAAACAGGGTCTTGCTAAATTGACCAGACTGGCCTTGAACTTGGAATCCTCCTGCTTCAGCCTCCTGAGTGGCTGGAATTACCAGCATACATCACCACACCCAGCTCACATTTTTTTTTTTTTAACAACTTAGAGCTCCTTGTTTTTCTGGGACTCTGAATATTTTGCCCTCTCTTGTTCACCTGGTGAGTTCCTCTCATCCTTCAGAGCCACTGTAGACTTGTCTTGTTCTCTCTACCTTCACAATCTGGTTTCTTTAGCACCTTGCAATAGCATGTAACTAGCTCTTACTATCAGTCTCCCCCTCAAGTTTTGTAGGATGAAGCTACGTCTTGTTCATCCTTTTATTCTGCATTCAAGGACCATGTCAATTCAAGAAAAATATATGTGGAATGCATGAATGAAAACGGTCTGGCTGAGGGAATGAATGAGGGCACCGAGGCCACATGCAGCTGCCACAGAGAGAGCTCCAGAGCAAGTTTGGAACTACAATTGTGTGTCCTCACTGTTTGAGGCCAGTATTTTATGATTTTGTAATTCCATCACCAATATATCAGTGTTTCCCTGTAGGCTGCCGAGTTTGTGACTAGCAATTCAAACAGTGAGAGATAGATGGATCTAAATATATTCTTTCAAGTTTATTTGGGGCATAATCAAGAAAATGTTGCAGGAACAAATAATTAAGTGTATTGGGCAAGTCCTTAGAGGCAATTAAAACACTCAGATTTCCAAACAGCTTGCTGGAATCTCCCCTCCCCTCCAATTGAGACTGATTTGGTCACAAATTGCTTCAGTTCTACACTCTGTATGTGAAGCTGATGCACTAGTGATTTGATTCTTATCATTTTCATAAGTGTAGTTACTGATGAGGTGAAGCCTCACCACAATCCAACACAACGTCCACGTTTCTCTATGAGTTCAACTGCTTTGTGTCCAAAATAAATTTCTACCATATCACATTCTAGACCATGACAGCAATCACTACTTTTTTCTCTGTGAATCAACAGTACATCCCACCCTCCAAAACACCTACAAACTTGGGGGGGGAAAAAGACTCTTTCCAAAGAACATTCTCTTATGCAAACTCTGGCCATTTGGGGATAGCAATAGAGAAGATTTTATTCTTTGTACTGTGACTCATGTATCTTTATTCCCACAACTGTTACTTAAGGCAGGTCAATGGTGAACCCAATGGAAAAGAAAGAATAGTTTCTAACTGGAAAATAAGCACATTCGGGAGAAGTACATTCAAAGCATTATCAAAGTAAAATATGCAGCAGCACCAACAGGAGCAAACAAAAGCCCACGCAAGAGATGTGTAAATATTTCATGAAGCTGAGCCTTAATCAACTCTCTCTCCAAATCTTTCTGGTGTTGTAAACACTTCAGTTTCTTCCAGTCCCACCATGACCCAGATTCCTTGCAAAAATAAAATGAAAACACAGACCAATGGATCATTAATAAATGTGTTGTGAAAAATATTTAAATCGAGCATATCCAGGCACAGTTTTAACTGGAGGAAGAAGACACCTTAATGAAAGGTGGCTGCTACTTGAGTGACTACTCAGAGCTTGGTTTCTCCCCTCCCCCTTCAAGTCTTCTCTTTCCCCCCACCTCCTCTGCTGCTTTGTGGACATTCACATCATCTTAACCTTGAACTGTCTACATTCAAAGGCAGTGATTTCTCTGAATACCCCTCCAGAAGGCCCTAGAAACCTGACCTGCATTTGCTGTCTCTCTCCACCCCAGATTCACTTCCCAATGTCAACTATGTACCCCTCCATTTCCCCTCTTTCACTGACCATTGTTGCATCTGAAATTTTGCCTACATCTTTTCCATTTGCCTGGATATCATGAAGATCTGCTGTATCGGTTGACTATCTTCTTCAGACCTTTTTCTAAAATCCACATCTACAGAGCTGTTTATCTGCTCTAGTCTCTATCTTGACTTAATGTGGTTCCAAAGTTCACCTCCAGACACTGAACAGGTCTCTACAATGATTTCCCTTTATCAACCTCTGCCCGCCCTTCCTATTCTCTCCCCGCCCATCTCAAGAAAAACTATATATGTGTAAATATATATATACACACAAACACACATGAAAATACTTATATATGTCCAGTGTTTTGACCTTAATGGGAATAAACGTAAGAAAAATAAGAAAAATGCCGCACACACATACACACACGCCCCTCTTTCGATATTCGCAGTGTGCAGACCCGACTGATTGTAAATCCCCCAGCTCACGAACATCAGGAGTTTGCTCCTATTTACCTTCAAAGGCAGAGAGCTTAAGGGAGCAATGACCTTGCAGAGAAATTCATTACCTGCGAGGATGGGATGGGGACAAGAGCAACAGGCAAAGGAACCCCCAGCAAAATGTGGGACCAAATCCCTCCCCCATCAATATACAACACACCGCAACGCTCCGGCCCCCAGGGTTGGCCACTGGGCAGAGTGGCGGAGGAGGGGGGGCGTCTCCTCCTTACGCCGCAGGTCGCCTACCTGCTTTCGCCTGGCTCTCCCCGGCGCCGCGGGGCCACTGTCTGCGCTGTAGCAAGGGCTTCCCGTCGCATATCCTAAGCACAGGCTCTGGGCGCCACACCGATGTCTCTGGTTGGCGAGCTGTGGTCCTTTTCAACCCAGTCCCGGAGCCAGCTCTGTGCGATCAGGAACTGAAATTACTATGCAAAGAGCTGAGGCGGCGCGCTGGAGCGGGGCGGGATCGCCCGGCAGCCCCCGCCACTGGGTTGCAGCCGCCGGTCGCCGCCACTACCAGGCGCAGAGCAAATTTGGTGATGGGAGTTCACGAACTCGACTGTTCATCCATCAGGCCCCAGGTGCTCCCATCTGTCCGGAGCTGCCGGGCTTGAGGACCCGAGCCAGGGGCTGCAGCCTTGCAGGCAGTGGCGGTGACGGCGGCGGCGGCAGCAGCAGCAGCAGCAGCAGCAGGACGCCGGAGCTCCGCCCTCACGAACCCCCTCCTCTGCCTAACCGGTCTCAGGGGAAAGAGTTCCAGCCGCGCCTGCTGCGCGCCTGGCGGGGTAGCTGGGCGGCGGAAGGCAGGTTGTGGTTCTGCTGCAAGGAGACCAGCGACAGGAGATCAGATCGAAAGTTAAGAAGAGGATTGGGCAAGCGAGCTGGTGACCCAGAGCGGCAGAGTAGGAATTCTGGCCCTTGCCTTTTCTTGCAGGTCATTAGACTCCAAGGCTGAGTCTCGTCTCGACTCTAGTAGACGTGTTTTTAATAAAGCCACGTGCGGCGAAGATCTGAGAGCAAGGAGGCCGCCCGACGTTTAATATTTGTTGTACAGCGTACAGTATCCTACGTATTTGGAATTGGCATTGCTAACGGTCCTCCACTGAATAGAATACCCCTCTTCCCAAGAGGCGTGGATTGCTTTGGAAACTGGCCCTAGTGAGCAGCTCCAGCAGTTATGAATGGATGTGTAATATGGTTAGCGCTGTAGATGGTGCAAAATGAGACAATAAGGAAAACTATTATTAACTGAGTCTTTGTTGGCAGGCCTTGTGCACAGCGCCTTATATGCAGCACTCAAATTCTCACAATGAGCCATCAGATGTGTATTATTCCTCACTTGTGTATGAAGAAAATGAAACTTAGATGATTTAGACACTTCCCCTGGTTTATGGTTGTAAGGGACACAGCTGGTATTCAAATCACTCCAAAATACCCTCTTTGACCAATTTCCAGGGCTCACCTAGAGATCTTGTTGAAAATGCTGTTGTGATTCCATAAGTCTGGAGTGGGATCTGCATTTCTAACAAACTCTCAGCTAATACCCTTGAGGCTGGCCAAAACAACAAACTTTCTAAGCCACTAAGTCAGGGATTTTTAAGTAAGTGTCTTCTCCAGTTGATTGAGAACTACATCCTAAAGGTGGATTAAAAAGGATACTAAGGCTATATCTTGGTTATTTAGCAAAGAATGCTGCAAATTAATTCATTATACTTGTTTTGGCTGATGAGAAGTTTGTGACAAGGATGCGGGATGGTAACTTCTAAAACATCTTTATTTCAGGAATGGTTATGGAGCAATATTTACAGTATTTGAGTATGAAGGATATATGCCTTTTTTCCAGTCTGTGGCCTCATTAAGAAAAATTTACAAATGACTTAAAATCAGCATACTATAGTAATGCAGCCACATCAATGTTTATAGAAGCTTAATTCACAATAGCTAAACTGTGGAAGCAACCTAGATGCCTTTCAATAGATGAATGAATAAAGAAACTGTGGTATATATATTCAATGGATTATTACTCAGAATTAAAAGAGAATAAAATATGTCATTTGCAGCTAAATGGATGGAGTTGGAGAATATCATGCTAAGCAAAGTAAGCCAATTCCAAAAATCAAAGGCCAAATGTTCTCTCTGATAAGTGGATGCTAATCCATAATGGGGCAGGCATGAGAAAAATGGAGGAACTTTGGGCAAAGTGGGGGGAGGGGAAGGAGTATGGGGCATGAAAGATGGTGGGATGAGATGGACATCATTACCCTAAGTACATGTATGACTACACATATGGTGCAATGCTACATCATGTACATAGAAATGAAAAGTTGTGAGACAATTGTGTACAATGAATCAAAATGCATTCTGCTGTCATATATACCTAATTAAAATAAACTAATTAATTAAAAAAATTTAAGCCAAAATTTTGCATACAACATTTGTATAACATGAAACACTTTACAAAATGCTCATATGAAGAATTTTCTCTGTGTTCATAGGAACACTGTACAGGTAGATAAAATTTAATTTTATAGGAAAAGAAACTGAAGTAATAATTTTTCCTGAGGTTACTCAATTATTATGCATGCATTAGATGCTAGATATAACAGATTCTAGTTTGTGGCTGTTTTTACTATATCACTATATTAGTTTTCTACTACTGCTATATCAAATAACCACAAAGTTATCAAATTACAAATTTATAATCTTCCAGCTCTGGAGGGCATAAATCTGAAAATAGATCTTTTAGGGCTAACATCAAAATTAAAGAGGCAATTAGGGCTGTACATCTTTTCTGGAGACTCTGAGGAGACAAGTTATTCCTTCTTGGTATTTTCCAGTCTCTAGAGGCTGCATGAGTTCCTTGACTTGTGACCACATCACTCTGACTTCTACTTCTATTGCCTCATCTCTTCTGATTCTGCATCCCTCATAGAAGGACCCTTTTGATGACATTAGGTCCACCTGGATAATCTAGAATCATCCTTCTGTTTTAATGTTCTTCACTGAATCACATCTGCAAAGTACTTTCTGCCAGGTAATGTAACATATTCACAGGTCTCAGGAAGTAGGATGTAGATGTCATTATAGGATTATTATTACTCTGTATATCAGAATCACACTTGGTACTTACCCTATAGATTCTTTTTTACTTGATTAATTCTTCTCTCTGCTTGATTTTTCAGACTGCTGGAAAGTTCTTTTAATTAAAACATTCACGTGAAAATCATTTGTGAAACAACAATAACAATGAACATTCCTAAAACATGAAAAGGCTATGAAAAGGGCTTATAAGATTATGGTCTTGAAGATTTGATTGACACTGAGGTGACCCATATGGGAAATTCTGAAAGCAAGTAGAAGCTCTAACAATGCAGAAAATTTAAAAAATTTTGCTATTCAAGGAATATACAATTGCCCAATAAATAAAGCAATTCAAAACTAGTAAAAAATAGAGTATGACACTGAATTCCAAGTAGTTCAGTAGCTTTTAGAATGATGGTAAATGCTAAAACAGTACATCAAACAAAACCAATAGATATTATTGAACACCTTTTATGCTCAAGGCATAAAAGACTGATGATATACAAAAATTTATGATTTCATTAGGGATGTAGAATTTATAAAAACTGAAATCCTAGAGGATTTAGACTGAAGAGACAATAGAGGCAATATGAGATGGTACATGATTAATTGCCAACTGGATGAGATGAAGTGAAAATTTTATTTGAAAATTAGTTACGTCTTAGTTACCATAAGGTAAGTAGAAATAAAACTGGAAGGGTAGGTTGGAAGGTTGTATTTTAAGAATCTTAAATGTCAAGCTAAGGATTTTAGACTTTATCCACAATAATAATGAAAATCATACCTTACTTTCATGTAGTGCTGAATAAATTACCAAATGTTCATGTATTTTCAGTTATTTGACTTCTTCCCTTCCTCCTACAGAAAATCAGGGTAGTGGATATGCATGTGTATGTTTGTGCGCATGCACATGCATGCACATGCCACAGACTACACGGAGAAAGAAAGGAAAGCGTCTTATCGAAGATTTCTTGACTGCTATATGTAAATTAGCCACGCTGCCCACTTATCTTGCATACTTTTAATCCTCCTGCTTTATGTTTTTCTGTCAAACTTATCACTACACTTTGTATATAGTAAATTTGTTTCTTCTGTTTCACTACCTCTGAGGCCCAGAACGTTGTCTCTCCTGTTCATGCTACATTCCTATGACCTAAAACAGCTTCTAACATTTAGTAAGTGCTCATTAAATATTCGTTGAAGGAATCATCAGCTCCAATTAACAAACTAAGAAACCTAAATCTCAAATTATTATGTGAACTTTATAATGTCCCACAGTGATGAACTGGCTTTATTTACCAAGCCTAAAATTTAATGTCAATTTTATGCATTTTTGATATTTGTTTTCCCCATGTAAAAGTCATTTGTGGTGTTTAAAAAGGGTCAGGAATGTGTTTAACATATGTAAGAAACTGAGGTTAGACTCCCCTAAAATGTCACATTTTTCCTAAAAACTTCTTCAATTTAGGTAGATTAACAGGAAGCATTGGCAGGATGGAGTTATCAACAGTGGAATTTGGAGGCTGGCCATTGAGTTTACAGTATTTGGCACTGACTAATACCGTAAATTGCTTTGCAATTGTTCTTGAGTTAATTCATTTGCATGTCTTGATACCTTGCATTGTAGGGTTTGGAGGCTGAGGGACTATAACTTCTATTTCTTCTACATCCCTGCATTCTGCCCAGTATTGTGCTCTGAACAGATTGTCACTGAAGAGTTGTAAGATAGCTGCCATTCCTCTTAAAATCATATCTTTACAAACCATGCTCAAGAAGAAAAAAATTCAAGTGGAAAAGAGTTTCTATTTTTTTCTTTTTCCACAAAAGTAATTATCTCCCAGGACCCAGTCACTGGCCAGAATTTGGTCGCTAGATCAAACAGTAGGTCTGTGAACGTGGACACCCAGTATGGAGGAATAAACTTGCTTTGATTTTTCCAGGCTGGACATCTTGCTGCCCCAATAAAAACTGAGTTTCTCTTGGTGAGGGAAAATGAAGGCAGGTGGTAGGATCATTCCATAGTAAGATCTTTCACAGAACATCAATACAGAAACTGATGTCTTTTTCATATTGCCTGAGTACATCTGGATTTCTGGAAGACCAAGGCAAGAATATAAGTCAGGCTCTTGCTTATTTTTCTTTCTCTTCCATCTTCCTTTCCCCCTCCCTCCCTTCCTTCTCTGCCTTTGCTTGCTGTGTCTTTATCGTGTTAGTACATCTTAGTTACCATAAGGAGATACCAGAAGCACTTAATTTAAAGAGAGAAAGGGATTCATTTGCTAATATTTGGGACAGTCAAA